AATATCAGGAATAAGACAAGGGTGCCCACTCTCATCACTATTATTCAATGTAATTTTGGAAGTCCTAGACACAGCAATCAGAGAAGAAAAGAAATAAAAGGAATCCATATTGGAAAAGAAGAAGTAAAACTCTAAGTTTGCAGATGCATGTATGATCAGTTGCTTCATCCTCTCAAACTCTTTGTGATCCCACGGATGGTAGCCTGCCAGGCTTCTCTGTCCATGGAATTTTCCAGGCAGTAATACTGGAGTGGGTTGCAATTTCTTACTACAGGAGATCTTCCTGACTCAAGGATCGAACCCATGTCTCCTGCATTTCCTACATTGGCATGTGAATTCTTTACCACTGAGGCACCTGGGAAGCCCTGTTTGCAGATGATATGATACTAGAGAAAAAAACCTTAAAGATGTCATGACAAAATTACTAGAGCTAATCAATGAATGTAGCAAAGTGGCAGGATATAAAATTAATACACAGAATTCCTTTGCATTCCTAGATAGTAACAATGAAAAATCAGAAAGAGAAATTAAACAAACAATCCCATTCACCATTGCAACAAAAATTAAAATACTAGGAATAAATCTACCTGAACGGACAAAAGACCTGTATGCCGACAACTATAAGACACTGATGGAAGAAATTAAACACAACACAAACAGATGGAGAAATAGACTATGGTCTTGGATTGGAAGAATTATACTGTGAAAATGACTATACTATCCAAAGCAATCTATAGATTCAATGCAATCTCTATCAAACTACAAATGGTATTTCTAACAGAACTATAACAACAAATTTCACAATTTGTATGGAAACACAGAAGACCATGGATAGCCAAAGCAACCTTGAGAAAGAAAAATGGGGCTGGAGGAATCAACCTTCCTAACTTAGACTATACTACAGTGCTACAGTCATCAAGACAGTATGGTACTGGCAAAGAAAAAAAAAAAAAAACAGAAATATAGACCAATGGAAAGAGATAGAAAGCCCAGAGATAAGCCCACACCAGTGGGCACCTTATCTTTGACAAAAGAGCTGAGAATATACAATGGAGAAAAGACCTCTTTAACAAGTGGTGCTGGGAAAACTGGACAGCTACATGTAAAAGAATGAAACTGGAACACTTCCTAACATCATATACAAAAATAAACTCAAAATGGATTAAACACTTAAATATAAGGCCAGAAACTATAAAGCTCTTAGAGAAAGTCACAGGCAGTACATTCTGACATAAATCAAAGCAAGATCCTCTTTGACTTACCTCTTAAAGTAATGGAAATAAAAACAAAAATAAATAAATGGGATTTAAAAGCTTTTGCACAGAAAAGGAAACAATAAATGACTAAAAGACAAACCTGAGGATGGGAGAAAATAATTGCAAACAAACAAAAAAAAAAAACTGATGAAGGCTTATTCTCAAAAATATATAAGCAGCTCATACAAAGAAAACAAATAGCCCAATCAAAAAATTAGTAGAAGACCTAAACAGACATTTCCCTAAAGAAGACATACAGATGACCAATAGACACATGAAAAGATGCTCAACACCTCTAATTATTAGAGAAATGTAAATCAAAACTGCAATGAGATTATGTTACACCAGTCAGAAGGCCATCATCAAACAAAATCTACAGACAAAAAGTGCTGGAGAGGATGTGGAGGAAAGGGAACACTCTTGCACTGTTGGTGGGAATATAAATTGATACAGCCATTATGGAGAACAGTATGGAGATTCCCTAAAAAGCTAGGATTAAAACTACCATATGACCTAGCAATCTCACGACTGGGCATATAGCCTGTTGTTTTTCAGTCACTAAGTCATATCGAACTCTTTGTGAACCCATGAATTGCAGCATGCCAAGCTCCTCTGTCTTTCACTATCTCCCTGTGTTTACTCAATCTCATGTCCATTGAGTCAGTAATTTCATCCAACCATCTTATCCTCTGTCCCCACCTTCTCCTGTTGCCAGCATCAGGGTCTTTTCCAATGGGTCAGCCCTTTGTATCAGGTAGCCAGAGTACTGGAGCTTCAGCCTCAGCATCAGTCCTTCCAATGAATATTCAGGGTTGGTTTCCTTTAGGACTGACAGGTTTGATTTCCTTGCTGTTCAGGGGAGTCTCAAGAGTCTTCTCCAGCACCACAGTTTGAAAGCATTAATTCTTCAGCCCTCAGCTTTCTTTATGGTCCAACTCTCAAATTCATACGTGACTACTGGAAAAAACATAGCTTTGACTATACAGATCTTTTTTGGCAAAGTGATGTCTCTGCTTTTTAATATACCACCTAGGTTTGTCATAGCTTTTCCGAGAAACAAGCGTCTTTTATTTTTGTGGCTGCAGTCACTTTCCACAGGGATTTTGGATTCCAAGAAAATAAAATCTGTTACTTTTTCTACTTTTTCCCCATTTATTTGCCATGAAGTGATGGGACCGGATGGGTTTTCCAGGTGGTGCTAGTGGTAAAGAACCTGCCTGCCAATGCAGGAGATGTGAGACATGGGTTCGATCCATGGGTCAGGAAGATCCTCTGGAGGAGGGCATGGCAGTCCACTCCAGTATTCTTGCCTGGAGAATCCCATGGAAAGAGGAGCCTGGTTGGCTAAAGTCCAAAGAGTTGTACAGAGTCAGCCACTACTGAAGCGACTTAGCACACACACACAGTGGGACCAGATGCCAAAGACCAGCAGCGGGACAACCAGTACACTGGGCATATCCAGTTACATGGAGCAGCTGAAGGGCATGTTCCTGATACAGCCTGAAAAACTGGAGGTCTGCTGGAGAAGAATGGCAAACCATGTCAGTATTCTTGCCTTGCGAACTCCATGAATGGAATGTAAAAGGGCATAAATGCTGAAAAAAATCATAATTGAAAAAGGTCCATGTACCCCAATGTTCATAACAGCACTATTTACATAGCTAGGACATGAAAGCAACTCATACGTTCATTGATATATGAATGCATAAATAATTTGTGGTATATATATTCAATGCAATATTACTCAGCCATAAAAAAGAACATATTTGAGTCAGTTCTAGTGAGGTGGGTGAACCTAGAGCTTGTCATACAGAGTGAAGTAAGTCAGAAAGAGAAAAAACAAATATGGTATGTTAATGAATATATAAGGAATCTAGAATAATGGCATTGATGAACCTATTTGCAGAGAAGGAATGGAGATGCATATGTAGAGAATGAACCTGTGGACACCGTGGGGAAGGAAAGAGTAGGATGGATAGAGAAAGTAACATAGACATATATACACTACCATGTGTAAAATAGATAGCTGGTGAGAATTTGCTGTTTAACATAGGGAGCCCAGCTATGCACTCTGTGGTGATCTAGAGGGGTGGGATGAGGGAGAGGATGGAGGCTGAAGAGGAAGGTGATGTAAATATAATTTGGTTTATTTGTGTTGTTGTACAGCAGAAACCATTACAACATTGTAAAGCAATTTTACTCCAATTAAAAATAAATTTAAAAAATAAAATCCCATTAAAACACAATAAATGAGGCCTAAAAATTCAATCACATAAAATTAAAATTATACTATTGGGAATTTTGATGACAAGCAATATTTTTTAGTTATTTTTTATTGTCACAAAATATAAAAATTTTTAAAAATTAATTGCTATATTGTAGACAAGTAAATAAACTCTGAATTGAAAAAGTCCTCAAGGATCAGGGATCATTCACTTCCTAACAGAATCTCTCTCCATCATGAAGGAGAAACTTAACTTATTTATCTTCTCTTGAGAATGTTGGACTGGCATACAGGAGCTGGGAGCTAATGTCACTCATCATATACTGCTTTATGTTTTCCTAGCATTTCAGTGTAAGCATCAAATTAATTTTATATCCAAACCATGGGCATCAGTATAAAATTATCACTAATTTATTTTCTTAAAGTGGAATAAACTCTTGGTTTTCCTTCCTTTTTTCTGAGGAAATATAATGACAATGTGTGTGTGCATGCTCAGTCACTTCAGGCGTGTCCAACTCTTTGTGACTCTATGGACTGTAGCCTGCCAGGCTTCTCTGTCCATGGCATTCCTCAGGCAAGGATAGTGGAGTGGGTTGCCATGCCCTCCTCCACAGGATCTTCTTGACCCAGGGATTCAACCCAAGTCTCCTGTGTTTCCTATATTGGAGGCAGATTCTTTACCTCTTGAGCCACGTGGGAAGTCCTATAATAATATACCGTAGGAAACCCCTCAAACATGGCTGAAGAAGTGTACTGATAAAGCTAATGCTGCAAAAAAAAAATCAGTAAAAGAAAGTAAAGAATTTCTTGTGCTGCTAATATTGGATTTGTAATATGAGCACAATGATATTTTCTCTTAAATAAAGGTACTTAAATATCCTAAAAAAATGTTTCGGGATAAATTCTTTGTTTTCACTTAACATGTTTTCACACTCAATAGAAAATGACTAATATGATGAAAAATATCTATGAGATGACAAGTTTATCATAATATGCATACCTTAATAAAATGGCTTAGGAAATGGAGAATTATAATGATTTAGTGTGATAAAGTAAATATGACTAACAAGGTTAATTCCAACTATTAAAATTTATGAAGTTTTAATAATAACTTTGAGAGAAGCATGATACATTGAATATTTATAGTTAGGCTTTCCTTTACACTGTAACTAATAATTGGAAAAAGTTTATGAATAATCTTTATTCACTCATTCTAGATTCATGGAAGCTAAATTCAACATGCTGTTTCCTAGGCTAGAATAACCATTTTTGTTAATAATTCTTTAATTTTCCTTCTTTTAACATAGCATGATAAAATTAATAACTAAAAACAGATGATTTGCCTTATTTTCCAAAGTGAATTGAAAATCTAGGATTAAGATGCCTTTTTTTCTGAATTTCTGATGAAATAATCTCAGGCCCAAATCTGTTAAAGCAACTGCCATTTTGTAAGTGTCATCATATTATTAATTAAACTTGAAAACAAGCTGATTTCAAAGGCCAGACACATTTAAGCTTACCCTGAGGACGGTTAGCTTTTCTGCGAGCACCAAGCCGTTGTGCCTCATCTTCTGAGTCAAGGTCGTGTCTTTCATTGTCAGATATGATCTTGTGCTCTTTTTCACCATCAGACTTTATAAGGTATTTCTCCCTTTCTTCATCCATTTGAAGTCTCTCATTTTCAGAGTGCAACAGAGACTGTTCCATCTCCATCATGTGTGTATGTCTTTCACTTTCAAATTCATTTTGATATCTTTCATTTTCAAAATCTGTTTCATGTTTTTCAGAATCAGAGTCTATTTGATGTCTTTCAAACTTACCCCAGTGCTTTTGAAGGCCTTCTTGACATCTTCCAGAGCTATCCTGAAGTCCTGAAGATCTGTGTTGGTATTTTCTAGAGCTGTTCCAGCATCTACTATAGTCAAAGTTCAACTGTTGTCTTTCAGAGCTAGTCACGTATCTTTCAAATTCATACCCAAGGCCCATCCAGAATCTTTCCAAGTCCGAGGCTCTTTGGCAATTTTCAGCCTTCATTATGGGATTCACTGAATCAGAGCTCATATCCAGGCTTTCAGAATCCAAGTCCATTGTGTGTCTAACAGACCAAGAATCTACATAATGCCTCTCAGTTTCAGTGCTCAACTGGACTGTGTTAGCATTCATGAGGCATTTCACAGAGGCTGAGGCTAGCTCATATCTTCTTGAGTCTGAGTCCATCCTACATGGTTCAAAGTCAGAGTCCATTATATGTCTCTCAGCTCTAATCTTCTGGTGTTTTCCTTCCTCCATCAGATATATCCCAGATGCAGAGTCTGAGTCTATTGCATCCCATTCCATGTATGAGTCCATCACATATCTCTCAGATGCAGAGATTAGCCAGTGTTGCTCAGTCTCCATTATTTTTTTTTCAGACTCCATGAAGCGTTTTATAGAATCTGAGGCCATTTGGCATTTTTCTGCCTTCAGCAGGTGTTTCACAGATGCAGAAGCCATGGGGTATTTTTTTGAGTCTGAGTCTATCCTGGGTCTTTCGTTGTCAGAAGCCATCACATATTTTTCAGAATCAGAGTCTGCCAGGCTTTTTTCTGAATCTGGGTCGATATGGTGTTTCAGAGAGTCAAATTCCAGCTGGCATTGTTCAATTCCAACTAGGTGTTGCTCTAGGTTTGATGACATCTGGAATTTTTCTGCTTCCAGCAGGTGTTTCTGAGAGTCCGGGTCCACGGGACATTTTTCTGAATCTGAGTCCATTCCCCATGTTATTGAGTTTGAATCTTTTGAGTGTTGTTCTAAGTCAGAGTCCATACCAATGCCTCTGTCAGAGTCAGAATTAGTCACACAGCTTTCAGAGCCAGAAGTCAGCAGAGGGGCATCACTTTCAATTATCAATAGGTCTTGGAGAGTTTCATAGTCAAAATAATTGGTTGAATTGTTAGAAATGTTTGTATCAGAAACTTCTGTTTCAGATGTGCTTCCTTCAACATGTGGCATGACAACTGCTTCTTCATTACTTAAAGAAAAGACAAATATGAATACTTAAAAATATTAATCAAATGTTGGCAAATACATTATTTCTCTGTTGAAAAGTCTTCTGTAGGGGAATATTATAAAGTACATATACCTATCAGACTTTAGAAAGCATGTGACATCATTATGCTTCTTGTGAACAAATCAGAAGAAAATCAGTGTAGGTAGATTTTACATTCATTTGCATTTACCTTCATATTAACTATTTTTCAGTGCACCTGAAAGTACTCACCTGAATATAATACTTCCTTACAATGTACTATTTTTTTGTCTTTATCCAGTCAGTGCATCATTATTTTGAAAACTGAATATTATGCTAAAATGTGGTAGAAAAAAATCACTATTTCTATATTCTATTCCAAGTTAAGATTACATGTATATAGACTTATTATCAGTGAAACTTACCTTTGAGTGCAGAGATTTTCTAGAGAAAAATATTCAAATCTATTAGGTACTGTTTCATTTGGAAGGGACACATCTTGAAGGGGAAATATATGTTCAATGGATGAATTAGTTGCAGTTTTTGGCTGCAAAGCAAAATAAATCATAAACAAAATTACAATTTCTTAGTTACATTTAACGTGAAACATAGCACATTTAGGTATTTTGATTGTAGGAAGGGTGTCACTTCATTATCTGTACTTGTGTTTAAGGGAAAGTTATAATGAGAACATTTTTCAAAATAAAACTTCAGAAATAGCATTTAAGTATAAAAGAAAATACGATAGACACATTGTGAGATATCTTCCTAGCCTCTACTTTTCCATAAACTAATGTCCATCCCCAAATGCCTCATTGGTGCTATGTTGCCTTGGAGTAATTGGTGTTTGATGCAAATTGGGGCAATAAGATTTTTTTCCTGCAGAGTTTGAGTTAGAATTCAGAATAGTTCTTCTTTTTCCCCTGCTGGTTGCTTGAAATAAGGACAGGCAATCATGGGCAGTATGAAGAAGTAATGTCTGGCATATGCCTAGAGAAGCAAAAAAAAAAAAAAAAAAAAACCAAAACAATGTAGAGAGTGTAAATAATGAAATATCAATACACTAAGGAAGCATAAACAAGGGATCATATGCCTCTAGAGAAACATATGATATATTTTCTACCTGAGCTCCTAATTCCAGTTCCTACTAAGTAGTAAGTTTACTTTCTGCCCTTGAGCTTTCTAAGATCTTTTCAAGATCTTTGACTTAATGTTTTTACCATGCTTCTTTTCTAAAAAATTATTTATTTTAATTGGAGGCTAAATACTGTACAATATCATGGTGGTTTTGGCCATACATTGACATGAATCAGTCATAGGTGTACATGTGTCCTCCATCCCAAATTCCCCACCCACCTCCTTCCCCATCCCATCCCTCTGGGTTGTCCCAGTGCGCCAGCTTTGAATGCCTTGTTTCATGCATTGAACTTAGACTGGTGATCTATTTCACATATGGTAATAGACATGTTTCAATGCTATTCTCTCAAATCATCTCATCTTCACCTTCTCTCACAGAGTCCAAAAGTCTGTTTTTATCTCTGTGTCTCTTTTGCTGTCTCGCATATGGGGTCATCATTACCATCTCTCTAAATTCCATATATATGCATGAATATACTGTATTGGTATTTTTCCTTCTGACTTACTTCACTCTGTATAATAGGATCCAGTTTCATCCACCTTATTAGAATTGATTAAAATGCATTATTTTTAATAGTTGAGTAATATTCCACTGTGTATGTGTACCACACCTTTCTTATCCATTCATTTGCCGATAGACATCTAGGTTGCTTCCATGTCCTGGCTATTGTAAACAGTGCTGCGATGAACACTGGGGACACGTGTCTCTTTCAAATCTAGTTTCCTTGGTGTCTATGCCCAGCAGTGGGATTGCTGGGTCGTATGGCAGTTCTGTTTCCAATTTTTAAAGGAATCTCCACACTGTTCTCCATAGTGGCTGTACTAGTTTACATTCCCACCAACAGTGCCCTCTCCAGCATTTATTGTTTGTGGATTTTTTGATAGCAGCCATTCTGACCAGCGTGAGATGGTACCTCATTGTGGTTTTGATTTGCATTTCTCTGATAATGAGTGATGTTGAGCATCTTTTCATGTGTTTCTTAGCCATCTGTATGTCTTCTTTGGAGAAATGTCTGTTTAGTTCTTGGGCCCATTTTTTGTTTAAGCCAGTATGAGTGGGGTCTGTTTCTTGAGAGAATAGCATTGAAACATATACATTACCATATGTAAAATAGATGAAAAGTGCAAGTTCAATGCATGAAGCAGGGCACCCAAAGCTGGTACCCTGGGACAATCCAGAGGGATTGGGTGGGGAGGGAGGTGGGGGGTTTAGGATGGGGGGTTCACATGTATACCTGTGGCTGATTCATGGTGATGTATGGCAAAAACCATCACAATATCATGAAGTAACTACCCTCCAATTAAAATTAATTAGTTAAAAAAAGAATTCTAGCAGAATAAAACAAAATAACGAAAAGGTCCTTCATAAGACATCAAAACTGCTGTTAATACATTATTGTTAACCTCAAAGTAGAACATACATAATAAGTGAGACTTAGGTGAAGAAGTAGTCCAAGAAAAGGAAAAAGAAGAGTTGAAAAATGATCAAAATGAATTTTATCTACTAAAGAGATATATTCCATCTTCAACAAAACTTGAGTAAAAAATAATGGATTTAAACTGTAACATGTTATTTAAATACAATATAAGAAAAAATACTCAAGTTTTAACATACTATAGAATTAATTATAATAAAATTTTTGGAATCTCCTGTCCCAGTCAATAATTGTGAGGCTCAAATGAGATAGTATTTAAGAGAAAACACTAATTCAAAATAAAAGATAAGGACAAATAATATAAATTATTAACAGATATTAAAAAGAAGGGTGATTTTATTTATAAACAAAAGTATGAGAAATATTGATACTTCCACATCTTAGGTGAGATATATAGCAAACAATTTTCATGTGCTTCTAAATACTGATCTATAAGTGCAAATATTCAGAACTACTTTGACTCCTATTCTGAAATCATAGTAATGGGTTTCCATTATGATTGCTCTGTCACTAGTTTTCATTATTTTGAGTCAAGACAAAAAGCGTTAGGGAAAGTACAGCAAATTTTATTCAATCAGACATTATCTAAATTTAAACAAATAATATCTGCCTTCATAGGTTGATAACTAACATCTTTTCATGTGTATGAGTTACTAGTATGCCTAGTCTCCTGAGAAAATATATACATCATGCTTCTCCTCTTTCCAAAAGAATATTCTACTATGTTAAGGAAAAATCTAGCAGAAAATACCTAAAATGACCTATATTTTACTCCATATATAGCTTTTCCCCTTCAAAATCAGTTTTTTTAAGCAAAAACCATCATTGTTAATCTTTAATAAAATTACATGAAAAAAATAAAAATCTGTGATATGCAGAGTATTAAGGATTTTAGGACTTAAGTAAGGAGTTTAAGGGGAATAGGGGAGCATGGCAAGGGACTCCTTTATTTTTTAAAGGGAGTAAGGCTCGCTCTTTATGGAACTTGACTCTTCAATGGTCTGTTTGCAAAGTAGTTCCATCATTGTACATTGTACATTTCACTAGAGGCTTACTTTGGGAAAGCATCACTACTAAGATTTTCCAATTACAAATTAAAGTCAAGGAAAGAAGTCATAATATCCAAGTATTTTCAACAGGCACCCTAAGTCTAGCCCAGTTTATGATGAGATGAACAAGCTGAGAGACTAACAAATTATGCCCATGGGTCAAATCTAGCCCACTATGTTTTTGTATGGCCTAAGAGCAAAATAAATTTCTCACATTTTATATAAAAAGTAAAATGTAAAGTCCATTATCTCATCAGTGAGAACAATTTTTTCAATAGTTGAGAACACTGTGTATTTGACCTGGTAAGCAACAGATATTTAAGATATTTAGTCTTTTACAGAAAAAGTTTGCCATTCTATGCACTAGATGATTTCCAAGGACTTTCTGACTCAGAGTCCAAGAGCCTATGCTTTTAAGCAAAATAAAAGTATTAGCAATAAGAATGCTAACAGAATTATGGAAAAGAATACACACAGAATTTTAACAAGGAGTTATAAAATAATAAAGGAACCAGTCAGAACTGAAGAGTATATTAACTGAAAGGAAAAACACACAAGAATGAATTAACAACAGACTAGGTGACACTGAGAAATGGATGAGATCTGAAATATAGAAAAAAGGAAATCACCCATTTAGAACAGCAATAAGAAAAACAAATAAAAAAATGAGAATCATTCACAGGACCTCTGAAAAAAAAAAACATTCAGCATACCAACAATTGCTTTATATGGGTTCCAGAAAGAGAAGATAGAGAGAGAAAAAAAAGGTCAAAAATATATTTGGTGAAATTATAGCTGAAAATTTCCCAAATCTGAAAGAGGAATCATATATCTAGGTACAGGAAGAACAGGGGGTCCCAAACATAATGAACCCATACCAAGACATAACATAACCAAAATGGCAAAAGTTAAAGCTTAAGAGATAATTTTGAAGGCATCTAGAGAAAAATAAAGTCATATACAAAGTAATTCACATATGGTTATCAGCTGATTTTTTTTTTTTGCAGAAATTTTGGAGGACAGAAGGGAATGACATGATACATTCAAAGTGCTGAAAGAGAAAGAAAAAAGTAACCCAGGATACTATACCTAGCAAGATTATCATTTATATTTGAAAGAGAGATAAAAAACTTACAGAATAAGCAAAAAACTAAAAGAACTCATCAATAAAGAATGATGGAATGAATATGAAGATGTAAAATATGACACTAAAAACATGTAGGGTGAAATAAAAATGTATATCTTTTAGAGTGCTTGAACATAAATGGCTACTACTTTAATACATGCAAATATAGTTATATTGTTGTTGTTTATTTGCTAAGTCATGCCCAACTCTTTTGTGACTTCATAGACTGTAGCCCACCAGGCTCTTCTGTCCATGGGATTTCCCAGGCAAGAATACTTGAGAGGGTTGCCCCTGCTTCTCCAGGGGATCTTCCCAACTAGGGACTGAATCCATGTCTCCTGCAGAGGCAGGTGGATTCTTTATCACTGAGCCACCAGGTAACCCATAGACATACTAATAAGTCAATATATATGAGCCCCATGGTAACTACATATCAAAAACACAAAAACTAAAGAGAAAGGAACACAAGCCTACCACTAAAGAAAATCTTCAAACCACAAGGGAAGAAAATAAAAGGAGACAGAAAGAACAGAGATGAATTACAAAAGCATACAAAAACACAAATAACAAAATGAGAAAAATTACATGTCTACCAATAATCACTTTAAATGTCAACAGATTAAATGTTTTAATCAAAATATATAGGATGAATGATTGGATATAAAAAAGATCAACCAATATGCAGCTCCCAAGAGACTCACTTCAGAGCTAAAGTCACAAACAGACTGAAAGTGAGGGTATGGAAAAAGATATTTTATGAAATGAAAGTGATAAGAAAGTATGGATAAGTAACTCTTGA